TATATAAAATATTTCAGAGATGCAGCACACAGAGTTCATCCATTAGCTGGTCAAGGTGTAAATTTAGGCTTTGGAGATATAACAGTATTAGTTCAACTTCTTGCAGAAGCAGTTATAAGTGGAGTTCCAATAGGAAACATAATGTATTTGAGAAAATATGAAACATTAAGACAACGATATAATGTTCCAATAATGTTTGCTATTGATGCATTGCATCGATTATATAATGGAACAGCAGCTCCTATTGTCCTAGTTCGAAGTTTGGGATTACAATTGACAAATGCTATCCCAGTGATAAAGGTGAAATATTTTTTTAAAAATAATAAAATAAAGTATTATATTTTATTTTATGCTAATTAATAAAATTTTATCGTTTGCTTTAGAAAGCCTTAATAGAACATGCATCTGGACAAATAGAAACTTGATGATGTTAATACTTAATATAAATATTTATTAGTATAATATATAATTATATATTTTGTAATGCAATAATGTATAACATATAAATAAAAGTAGAAATATAATTTAATATGTTATTTATATTAAAAAATTATTACATTAGTCTTATCTATCAAAAAAAGAAAATGCATATATGTGTGTATGTATTATATATATATAATGTGTGTATGCGTATATACATATATATATATGTACAAAATATTTGAATATTTTTCGTTGTTAATCATAGTGATAAATTTGTATTATTGATAATATCCAATATTTATTTAATTTTTATTATAAAAAATTATAACAAAAGAGTAAACCTAATGATTTATAAGATTTATCGAAATGTAACTTCATCGATATCTGAAATAATAACATCGATATGTAAAGAAAAACGATGATCAATGCAAATTGATTATTCCACGTGAGCGAAGGTTAACAGTTTTGAAACGCAAACAGGTTATCATGTTACCTTCCATAAAAAACAAGTAACTAAACAAATACTAAATAAAATTAATCGGATATTTTTAAAAAAAAATTAAAATTGAAATATTTTCAAATATCATTTTTTAATACATAAATTTTGTCACATCTTTTATATGCACATAGTTTAGGTTATTACGATCTCCGAAATTTATGAACAATTTGTAACTTAGAAAGACATAAGTGAATTACGTAATTTTTTATACTTTATTTCATTTATGTGGTAAGGAGATATTACTAAGGAAAAAAAAATTTCGACTATACAGCAAAGTAATTTAATACTTATAAAGGTTATAAATACTTATTTATATGATTATTATATTAAAATGAAAAAATTTTATTTATTTAAAATTATTATTTAATTTCAGATCCAAAATATATAAAATTAAACAAAAATTTTGTTACTTTACTTTTAATTGATAATGTTTGTATCCAAAAAATTATTAAAAAGAGCTGCTCTTGGAATACTTGGATTGGGCACATTAGCATCTTTAAGAGCAAATGAATATGATTTGGGATCTATAGGTATTGTACGACTAGGACGTGCTGTAGTTACTGTTTTTATAATTGGAAGATATTATAAAAATGAATTATATGGAACTAATTTAAATCCAAATACTCAAGAATATATTGATTTAAAATCAAAAGTACATAAATATGGAGCACAAAAACTCTTAGAACTTTGTTGTGCTAACAAAGGTGTTTATATAAAAGTAGGTCAACATATTGGTGCACTAGATTATTTACTGCCACAAGAATATGTTAATACAATGAGAGTATTACATAGTTCAGCACCACAATCATCATTTAAAGATATACTTACTGTTATTAAAGAAGATTTCAAGAAAGATCCATATGAAATATTTGAAAGTATCGATCCTGAACCTTTAGGTACTGCCAGTTTAGCACAAGTTCATAAAGCTGTATTAAAAAATGGTGGTATTGTTGCTGTTAAAATTCAACATCGATCAGTTAAAACAAATTCTTATGTAGATATAAAAACTATGTCAACTTTAGTAAAATTGACATCATTAGTTTTTCCTGATTTTAAATTTGATTGGCTTGTTGATGAAACTAAAAAGAATATTCCTCGAGAGCTGGATTTCACTCAAGAAGGAAAAAATGCAGAAAAAATTCAAAATATATTTTCCCATTATCATTGGTTAAAAATACCAAAAATACATTGGGAAATTTCATCACCACGAGTTCTAACAATGGAATTTGTAAAAGGAGGTCAAGTTAATGACTTAAAATATATTCAAAATAGTAATTTAAATCCATATGAAGTTAGTAGTAAATTAGGCCGGCTTTATAGTCATATGATATTTATAGTGGGATTCGTACATTCAGATCCACATCCTGGTAATGTCTTAGTTAGAAAGAAAAATAATGAAGCAGAAATCATACTTTTAGATCATGGATTGTATGCAAATCTTTCAAATGAATTTCGATGGGAATATTCTAAACTTTGGTTGGCAATATTTGATGGCAATAAAACTGCAATGCAAACACATTGTGCTAATTTAGGTGTTACAGATTTGTATGGATTACTAGCTTGTATGGTATCAGGAAGATCTTGGAATACAATTATGGCTGGTGTCCAAAAAACTAAATATGATATACAAGAAAAAGAGGAATTTCAAAGAGAAATACCAAATTTATTACCACAAATTAGCAATGTATTAGACAAAGTAAACAGACAAATGTTGTTAATTCTTAAAACAAATGATCTTATGCGTTGCATTGAATATTCGCTCAATACAGGATCAAGAATGTCAGGAATGTTAGAAATGTCAAAATGTTGTATACATTCTGTATATGGAGAAAAACTAAAATCTTGTACAAATGTATGGGAAAAATGGAAAATTTCTCTATCTAAACAATGGGCACTCTTTAAAATATCATTATATTATATATACTTAGGGGCATTAAATTTTAATATACAAAATTCTGTTAACTCATTTTTAAAGAATGAATTTTATACTTTTTAATAATACATGTTTCTAGGAAAAATATAAATTTATTTAAATCAAATATGAAATTGATTAAATAATATAATATCTTAAAATATATTATAATTTTATTAATTTAAACAATTAATTTAAAAAAATATGTAAGTGTTCCTATATAAAATATACGAGTAAAAATTTTTTATTTACTTTTCTATTTCAAATACATAATTTTTGCCTAACAAAAACAATAATATATTTATATTAAATATATATACATTTTAATACATATATCAAAGTATATTTCAATAATTATGCTAAATTATTGTGCTATACTTTGATCACCTAATGATAATCAAGGTTATATCAGTTTAAGAATAATAGATGTTATAAATATGTATATATCTTATATATATATATATATATATATTTTTTATATTAATTATCTTTATTTTATTCTTATTATTTATTACTTACCTACAATATATAAAAACTTAATTTTTTTTATTATATGTATATACTTGTATTCAATAATTAAAGAAAAACTTATAACTGATGCTTTGTTATGTTCAATAAAAATATATGACAATAAATATTAATCATAAATTATGAATTTGTTTAATAATATTTATATATCTTTAATAAGTATTATTTAATTTAAATAAATTAAATAAATAAGTATACATTTGTATTATATTTAATACGTACGATATAAATATAATCCAAGCTTAGATAATATACTACACACATTTTATCTGTGTGTGTGTGTGTTGTGTGTGTATGCATATAACATATATAGATATACTTACTTATATATTAACAAAAATTTTAAAAAATTATATTATATTTAAGATATCTATGTGTATATATATATATATATATATACACGTATTTTTACCGTATATGATGACATGTTGCAAAAATAAAAATACGTGCGTCATTCAATGCTCATGATTCAAGAATAGTTTATGACTCACGAAAATATGAAGAAAAATGTATTTTTATAAGTATTCATTATATTATACTAATTAACAAAAAACTAAATGAAATAATTATTAATAGCATATGGAATTTAAAGAAAAATTAAAAAAAAAATTATTAATATATTCTTATTTTTAAAAATTATATTTTACTTTTTTATTTTAACAATATAAATAATTAATATAAAATATGAAAAAGAATTACTTTTTTTAATCAATAAATTTTTTTGATTAAATTTTTCATAAAATTTTAAAGTTATAGATTTCATAAAAGCAATTTTTTTAATTCGATATTATAAAATAAGACGCAGAATGGAAAGCATTTTGATACATTTATTGGGCGTAACAGTTATTCTTGACGACGTTGCCACGTTTTAATTTCTAGAATATTAAATATTTTTAAATTAATATAAAATTATTTTTATTATTAAAATTTTTTAAAAGTATTTTTAATAGTATTTTGAAAAAATAAATATTTATTAAAAGTTCATATTTATTTGTGTATTGAATGTGATATTAGATTTTTAAAATATTTGTACAAAATATTTAAAATACATAATTTATTATTATTATTTACAATAATAATATTATTTAACAAACTTCATAAATTTATATATTTATATTATTTTTTACAAGTACTGAATTAAATATGAGATTGATTTAATATTGTTAAAATTTATTTGATATGAATTATATTTATTGCATTCTAAATTCATAAATAATATTTTAAATTTTTGTTTTTTGTAACATAATAATATATTTTTTATATAATATATAAACTTAAAATTACAGAAAATATATAAAAATATTAAAAAACATTGATCGAAGTAATGTGAAAAGATTTGGCAACATTGGAAAAGATCTGCAAAGGAAACGTATATGACGTTATACGAAACGACACGTGATTGGTGAGAAATTGACCATACAACTCATTCATACGCCAGATATTATTTTCTAAAAACAAAAAATTTTGAGATAATGAGCAAAATATATATAAAATTTTTTATAAAGAGTATTATATACATATTTACAATTTAAATGCATATAATTATTTTTAAAATTTTTAAAAGAATAACGCTAATATAAAATTTTACAAGGAACTATTTTCTATTGATCACGCGTAAGAACACTACATAACGGCAAGCTAGGGGGTATATAAAGCCGCCATCAAACGCGCACGAAGGCATTTCCTGAGTCATTTTCGAACGGAGAAGGCTGTATCTTGCTCGGTGATTTATAGTCTTGTGTGTAGTTGTGCAACTTTCTTCCATTGTTCTACAAGAAACACGAGCCAGATACAGGTTGGTGTACTTCTTACTTATTCAATAATTAGGTGAAAAAGTTTAAAAAAAAGTTCTAAAAGAACGTGAAAATTCTTCAATCAATCTTCGTGCTAACCTATTTCTCAAGAAAGTTAGTTTCGATTGATATTACGACGCCAACGTTGGAAAGAAGGACATTTGGACTTACAAAAATCAACTAAGAAAATTACGAAGTCATGGTGGCTACTTCGAGACCTCGAGAAATCGACATCGATAAACCAAGCCATACGGAACAATTGGCTAATTGGATTAGTAGAGTTCGCTGTAAGAAACTAATGTGTCGTCGAAATCGCAAACGCGATTTAAGGATCGAAGCAGTGCTTACATATGCTCTTTTCAAAGCTGAACATGAATTGCGCAGCAAACAATTATCTAGAATTTCAAAATGGCAACAATTTAAAAAGCAATTTTTGAAGGATGCGGATTATTCAAATTGTGAATTCTACAATGATGGAGATATTAAAAATTCGAAGTCGTACCAAGAAAATAACCCCTGGCAAGGTCCTTTATGTCCTGAATTAAGTAGTTTAGACAATTTCATGTCTAAATTGGGGGAAATTAAAGTACCACTTCAACGATGAAGGAATAAATGAAGTATGAGTGATCAGGTCTGAAAAACCTGCGTCAGCGTCGAATCCAGTTTAAAAAGAAGATTTTTAGCAGTGTTTTGTCCAACAAAACGTTGACATTTAACAACAACTAAATGGAAACTCGAACCATAATGCAGTACCGTATCGCATCGGTGCTGTGGGAATAGAAGTCACATTACTATCCTGGTGGTATATCTGGATATTTTTTACTTGCAGTCTCACCGTTTGAGATGGCATTGGGACGGGCGGAGGAACTTGCTGTTTGCAGCGATGCTGGGCGTACCGCAGAATTGGGGACCCCATGTTCTAGTCTCTACACCTTTCATTGGTTTGGTTTGTAAACTGTATCGGAACCAATGCATTTCTATTTGCAATTTTTTGTAATAATATACCAATCGAGTTCGTCAAACATGTTCGAAGAGCGTTTGATTCGATATTTTTTTTTTTCAGAAGTATGGCGGTTACATAAAAAAATATGTACTTATATAGCTTAAAGAAAATTTGTATAGTACAGTTTAACATGTAGATTTAATAGCGTTTTAAATATTTATTTAATGATCAAAAAATAATTTTATATGTAGATTTTGTACTTATTTATAAATGTTAATTAACAGTTTTGTAAATATTGTGATACAGCAAAGCAGCAGCGGAAAAAAATAAAAAAGAATAATAAAAATTGAAAATGTTAATAATTTTCCTATGATTTTTAAATCGCCATATTAATGCCAAAAATCCTTTTCAGTCCAGCATACTACATAAAATTCTGTCGAACGCAAGAGTGTCCCGCACGTGTGTCCAGGCTGTTGGTCGTCATCGGCGACACTATTTGGCCTGTCTATATATGAGATAAGGAATGGAGAGGATTGGTATGGGATAAACAAAGGGGCAAAGTCTTTGTTTTTAGAAATTTGCGCACCACGATCAAGTCGTACATAAACGTCTCATTCGCGCTTCCGTATCTTGAACATCCGAGCATCAACTAATTCAAAAATCAATGTGATGCGTGATATACATAGGCTTACTGTGACATACTGCAGCAACTTCGAGCAAGTTCTATTTTGGTGAGCTAATCCCTTCTGTTCGTTACCTGTGCAAATATATTTTCTCAGGTCCAGAAAAAATTTTTCCAATGTTTATGCAACTGAATTCTATATGGGTTTCCCTGGCTATTATTAATCCTTCAAAGTTGATCAAGCTGGACACTTAACGTATATATTGTTCCATTTGAATTAAAATGTATAAAAGTTTCAAGGTATGGAGTAAATTAAACACATCTTTGTTGAATTTAGATGATCCAGTAAGGCGAGTTACTGCAAGTAGCATAACTAATTTCAATAATAGGCATGCATATGAAGTATAAAAAACTCAATTTGAATAGGAAATTGCTATAAATTTTTACTAGTACTATATTAAATATTTAGGAATCATTACTAGATACTTACTTTTCACAGATTTTAATATTACTTCACTTACTCGTTGGGTGCTAGAGCAAGAAGAACTTCATGTATCATTAGATTAACAAATAAAAAAAGAATGATTCCTGATAAGTGATATGCAACAGGGTTATGGAAGTAAAGAGACTGATTTATATATATTACAGTTCAATTGATACGAGAAACTACATTGGGAATATTCTGAAAAAATTTTTTAATGATAGTAGGAAAACAGTGATACAAGGATGACATGCAGATATTTCTAAATTAAATTTTTAAGTATAACATATAGATGATATTTTCATATTTTGATGTTTTTAAAAAACAAAATTATGTTTAATGTTTTTAAATTCCAAGGAATACATCATCAATAATTCAGTTCTCGGACGTTATTGGAAATTGCTTACTTATACAATTATAATTAAGCAAGTTACAGGTTTGATTTGAAGTTTGTTTAAAGGAATTTAATTTCTTCTATATGGTTGCAAATGCAATGTGAAGTATCATGCTTTTATAATTATTGTTTTAAATATTTTTTCTTGAAATATTGTGGTTCGGGTGTTTGTTTTGTACTGCAGGAATAACCAATTTCGTAGTCATGGTGTACAACTAAACAACTACAAGCAATTATTTCTATTCCTGGAACATGTTGGATTCATATTGCAAAGTGGTATGTTGATTAGAATGATTTAGTTCCGAGTTGTAGGGGAGGGAGGGAGTTATTATGTTTCAGCTAAGCTTGGATAGAGAGAATCCTTTTAATCGACGAGGTACATAAAGGTGCACTTAAAATATATTCCGGTAACTCCTAATTGGATAAATATGAATAACTTTTAATCTTGATAAATATCACAATCTACATATCTATCTATATAACTGCAGTTTTGACAAAAAATATTGATCAAAGAAAGGTAAATAAATCCGATTTTTAAAATAGAAAAGGTATGTTTTGGTTGAAGGTAACAATTTAATATGATAAATGATTTCTAATAAACATTAAATATTGTTGAGAACTTCGAGAAATAGAACTTATACTATAAGCTGCAGATTTAATATTGTATTTCTTTCATCATAATGGATGCTACATATTTTGATGACATTTTTATAATAATGGAGATATATATCATATATTTTATACCAGGAAATAATTCTACAATTTCAATAATTTAAACTATTCACAATTATAATAGATAAGCATGATGCAATATATTTCATTCAGTTGCTGAAGAAATTCAATTGACAGTGGAACAGATTTCTGCCAAAAGAAGAAGAATAAAACGAGGATTTGTAATATATATAATTGTTTACTATTTTAAGTTTAAATATTTTAGATCTATAAAAAGTGATATACATTTAATTTTAATAAATGTATCTTGAAATTACATCTGATTTTGATATTTCTATAATTTGTCAAGACATGTAGGACGTAGATCTAGGAAAAAGAGGAGACAAAGGAATATAAGAAAGGTGCTAATGGTTTTATTTTTTCACAATGAGAAAAAGGGCGGATTAGTATATATATCAAATAATTTAAATATAAAATCGGTTAAAGCATGTTAAGCATGGTAGTGTTATATTCATAAAAATGATCAAATTATTGTTATTTAAATGTACCTATATTGGCTGTTTTGGATGTCTGTGATTTTTGCTTCAGGAAATTGAAGACAATTCATATTGTTATATGAATTTTATAATAAGTTTCCTATTCTATGGAGAAAAATCATGCCATGAAATACATCTGAACATGTATGTATTGTATGAATGTAATTTTTATTATATTTAGAAAACGATGTTGGATATACTAAAACGATATAAATATCAATTTTTATATTCAAGAGATTGATAACATTTTTGATAAATTTATAAAGATAAGTTTCCAATATTTTATTTAAATATGATAATATATAAGTTAGAATAAATTTTTATTGAATTTTTTTATTGAAAAAAAAGATGAAGGATTAAATTACTAACTTCATAGAATCTGTAGATATATTTCAGAAAATTTGTGTACAGAAAAAATTTTCTAAATGGAAGAGAGGTTACATCATCTTAGTTGAGACTTGACTAAGCTTGGCTGAAAATAAACTTATTTGAAATAACGAGAAAGTAATACAATATGTCTCAATTCAGATAAATTAAATGTTCAAAAAATTCAATCAAATATTTTAAAAATGCATTTAAAATATGTCATTGAAAGTAACCTCTATATCAAAACTAGTTTATCTAAAGTGATAAACATGAGTTTTCATCTTCGATTTTACTTTTTGAAGATAATTATCGAATGTTATAGAAATCGAATATATCTATTCAAGAAAAATTTAAATCAAGATAAATTATGTTACAACTTAAACTGTTTTATGGGATAGTATGCTGGTTATGTTCAATGGATCCAATTGGATAATTGGAATTAAACAAGATTTTTAAATTAATAACTTTCTAAATCTCGTAATTAGAAAGGAAATTTGTTCTATTTTTTTATGGAGAAATAATTTTAAAGTTGATGTGAAATTAACTCAAGTAACTTTATTTACTCATACATACAACAATTGAAGATTTTGAATATAAAAAAATATGATGCAAAATTAAAATAGGATTTAATTTTTCATTAAAAAGTAAGAATTGTTTAACAAAATACATTTTTAATTAAGTACATAATTAAGTACAGTAATAAATTTTTTCATTTCAGATTTAATGATGAGTGTATATTTTAAGAATATATTTGAAAATATATTTCAAAAAATATAAATGTTTATATGAAAAAAAAACTTGAAGTAATTTTCTTTGTGATAATAAATGATAATATAAAATGAAAATAATAAATATAAAATGAATAGAATAATAGAAATAGTAATCTATAATATCTGGCATAATTCAAATTGTTAAAAATGATTATATTTTTTAAATGATAGCCTATTTAGTATTAAATTATTTAGTATTAAATCAATATTAAAATATAAATTTCAATTTGGATATAATTAAAAGATTACAATTCTCGTAGAAACTTCATAGAAGAAAAATTAAGCTAAAATATAATAAAAATCTGAAAAAATATGATATATTGTGAAAAAAATATATAAGAAGAATAGTTTAAAATCTGAAACATTAACAAAAATTTTCATAATGAATTTTTATGTATAGAAATATTAACACAAAATTTGGAATTTAGAAAAAAAATATTTAAAATTTAAAGATTCTACCAATTTAAAATCTGAAGAAAAACTAAAATAAAAGTGAAATTGAAAAAATTATATCTAAAATTAATAATGTAGAATTTAATGAAAATCAAAAAAGATTTTATAGAATCAAAAATAATTTATATATTGATATTTGAAAAATTTAAATTGTATTCACTACATGTTATATCATAAAATTTAGAAGAAAATCAACGTGGGATTTCATGATGTATCTACTACATTACTAAGAATTCTTGTGAAAAAAATGTAGCCAATTTAATTGGCTGATTATGATATCTACACATTCATAAACACGATATGAAATACGAAATATTGGTCGAAAGTAACACACATCTATAAATAAGATTATATAATATACGTCGATGAATAAAAGATGTAGGAGTATTTCGTCTTGTCTATGTAAGCAAAAGATAGTTTTTTGCAAACTGTGAATAGATTAAAAGTTTAATAATAGAAGATGCTACCAATTAAATAAATTTAAAAAATATTAATGGAAAACTTCGAGGGAATTTCAATAAGATTTTGTAAAATACAAATAAGAATCAATGTGAAACTATATGGGATTCAAAAAAAACTAAAAATGTGGATTTTTGTAGAATTTAAAAAAGATTTTGTTAATGTGGATCTTTATAGGATTTAGAGAAGACTCAATGTGGGTTTTTGTAGGATTCAAAAGAGATTATCAATTGGGACTTATCATGGGATCAGAAGAAATTATCAACGCAGGACTTAGTGGGATTAAAAGAAGACTATCAACGTGAGACTTCGTGGGATTCAAAGAAGACTATCAACGTGAGACTTCGTGGGATTCAAAGAAGACTATCAACGTGAGACTTCGTGGGATTCAAAGAAGACTATCAACGTGAGACTTCGTGGGATTCAAAGAAGATTATCAACGCGGGACTTT